CGATAACAGCCGTCCTTGAGGGGCAGTCCCGTGTAGGAGTGGCTTACTGTTTCTCCTCGATAAATCACAGCCCCGGTGTTTCTCACACCTTGTTCACCGAGGCTATTTCTAGGCAAGAGGGGTGGGTGCACAGCCGTTGCCCTGGCAACGCCCCCGCCGCGTCGGCCGCTCTGGCGAGAGCTGCCCGGCCGAGAGCTGCCTGCCTGCTCTGTTCTCTCGGGGATCCCTGAGCGAGGGAAGCGACCGAAACCCGCTGTACCTCGCGGTCAGGCTGGAGCAGCTCTGAATCAGCGATCCTCGGCGATCAAGCACTAGAATGATGGGTTGCACTAAGAATGGATGGATAGGAATGGAGCAGGCGTGCAGGTGGTGTTTTCCTCCATACCTTCAGTGGCAGGGCTAGGATGACTAGCACTAGGAATGATGGGTTATAAATTCTGACACTGCATAACATTCAGTGTCTTTTGCTTGCACGTCTAATTCAATAATGATCCATAGCAGAAAAGAACACTAGCAGATTTGTGTAGTCTATCCATCGTAGAGTAAGTTACATTGAATGACTCTTCTCTAGGTTAGAAGAGGTGATTAAAAATGTGAAGATGGAAAGCAGGAATAGCTTTTCAGACACTCTTCTGACACGTGGAGTCTGTGAACATGCCAATGGAATTTAGAAAGTTTTGTTCAAATATGGGGAAATAGTGGCCAGTGACATTATGGAAATAATGGACATTGGCAACAATTGCACTGAACAAAAAAACATTGTTCAAATGACAAACTAATGAAAAAGTTATCAGGGATAAGACATTCAATTGTTTTTATTTTTGCTCTCTTTTTGAGAGGGTGAATCTCAGCAGATAGTAGTGGGAGAGGTAAAAAGAAAAAAAATATCATGGAGCAGTATATTGACCACCCATTGAAAACTGCACGGTGCAATGGTGATATGGTGAGATAACAAGTAGCTTGTGTTGCCAGTCAACCATTCATTTTGTTGCACATATGTACCTATATACATATAATATGTACACAACAGAGTGGGTGCACAAGTTCACCAAACCATCACTGCACAATAATTCTCTTTTCTGTGTAATTCCAAAACAAAAATCAACCCACCCATTTCTTCTTCCAGGTAAAAGCCTCACTATGCCACACAGGTCAGTGAATCCATTCTAGGCTTCCTTGGAAGAGAACTGCAGAGTCAAGTTCCCTCCACTGAAAATGTCTCACCAGTAACTGCTAGACAATTAAACCAGGGGGACTTCCTGCTCAAGTGCCTGCTGACCATTTCTGTCCTGGGGAGGAAGACAAAATGGAAAAAGAGAGGTTCCAAACTATTTAAATGCTGTGCTCCATTAGAAGTGCAGATGAGCAGTACAGTCCTGGGGCAGAATGCCTCATAGGGCATTCCTGCTGCTGTCCTCCCTGACAGCTTGCTAGCCCATGGAAGAGGAATTATCCCATTCTAGTAATAAAGAATATAATGCTTATCTCCACCACATTACCCAAGATGGACATAGGGTGCTAATGCTTTGTGGAAAGACAGGCGCTTGCTGAGAAATGTGTTCCCTCAAGTTCAACACATCCAGTCATACTCCTTAAACACCAGGACCATCTCACCCAAATCAAAACCTCAGTGCATTTTTTCCATGTTTCCCCTCTCATGTTCATGTTTCTGAAGCTCAGGTGGGCTTTTGAATGACATCTGAATGACATACATTCATTTACTGGATAAGCAAAGGGATCATGGAGGGAACGTAGTTTGTATTGTTAGAACATGAACATACCAAGCAATTTAGATTTTGCAGAAAAGTAAATATTTCACCTGAATAAGCATGAAGGCACTTCACTGGCATGATACAGAGGGCTAATAGGCAGCTGAGAAATTGCTGCAAAAGAAATCAAGAATATGAAGTCGAGATTCCTGTTCTATTTTGTTCGTTTTCACATTGTTTTCAACTGATGATTCTGTTCATCCCCAGAAATCTCCAGAGTAAAGCAGTAGCACAGAAAATTACTAATGTGCTGGCAATATTTATTCTACACAGCCAAAATTTACTCTGTCCCCATCATGTCAATTCCCTCTTCTTATTCTTCTTATTTTTTTATTTTTTTAAAGTCCAAATGCATATTAACTGGGTTTTTTTTTCTGCTGGCCCTAAAAAGAAACAAAAATATGAAGAAATTTGGCACCATGCCCATGTTCTCCTACTGATTGTCAGATATCAGATCTTTGACATACTGTGACTTAATCTAGCCACTGCTCTCTCAGTCCCCTATCTGGTACTGAAGGAACACATTTACCTCCACAATTCTCAGGTACAATTCAGTGACATGGTTTGGTTACCAGCTCAATTTCTTCCTGTTTCAATTGCTAATGGTTGTTAAATGAATTTTGTGCACACACTTCACCACTTTTATATGCTCCATAACTGTCTCTTGACACACTGACTTGTTTTACCTTTACCATTTGAAAAGACAGTTTTGGAGTATTATCTGGATGAAAGGCAGACAAAATTGTTATTTGCTTCCCATGAAAAATCTTCATCCTATTTAGATACCTTCCCCAGCTGCTCCTTAACTTCGGACATTCAGGAGCTCTCCGACTACAATTTCTCTGCTTAATCAAAAGTCAAATTGCTTTTAGAAGAAAGGAGGAGGATTTTGGTCAAAACTCCATTTACTGTACAGGTTCTCATTGGCTCTGAACATAAGATACGTAACAGCCAGGGTGGCATAGCTTTTGCTTCTGCTGTGCCTCATGTCACCCATGACCTTTTAGACCAAGAACAGTGAGAATTCAGCAGCAAAAAGAACAAAACTGCTGGGAAAAAAAAAAAAAAAAAACCAACCAACTCTCTTTTACCATGCTCAACTGTTTTACCAACTCAACTGAGCTGCCAATTGAAAGATCAAACAAGGACTGAAGTCTGAAAAAAATCACCTAGTGCTCAAAAATGTTCAGGCCTGACAAGCGCACAGCACAGCTCCTGCCAGCCTGAAGCACACATAGCTGCTTGCATTCATACATGGGTAGGAATCCGTCACCCAGGCAGCGATTAGTCCCTGAGCTCACAGTAATTGTGAACTGGCACCAATGGTCTCTGTAATGCTGGTGTTAGGGCATCAGGCTGTACCTACCACAACTCAGCACTAGAGATGCCTTCCTACCCTCAGAAAGGGCCCAGAGCCAGCGAGGCCACAAAGAGCGTTCCTGTGGAGAACAGTCTCCATGGTGGCTGCCTCTGCAGAAAGCCATCTTTATGAAGAGTGTGTCAAGCAGAGATTAGACAACCATCAGTACGTAAAGAACATGTATGCTTCCAGGCCTATGCACTAATGTCTTCCAGTTTACTGGGTTTCAAGTGTCTTATTTTCTGGTAACTCAACTATTAGCGTGCAAGGAAATGGAGAGAGAACTTAACAGCAGATGGAGGTTGACTGGTGAGGGTCAGAAGTGTTCTTATTGGACTGATCTTTCTCTCCAACTGTGCCACACTCCATAGCAAAGTATTTTGCGAAGGAACATCCTAGAACATCCAGAAAGAAACTTCTCTGAAGGGTTCTGTGGAGCACCATTACTTAGATGCAGTGCCCTTGTTAAGGGACGTAATGAAGAAAACAGCTTCATGAAGAAAGGCAAAGACTGCAGGAGATGACAAGGAAGAAAAAGGAGAAGCGTGGAAACAAGTTAAAAACAAAAATGAATTAAAAAATAGAATGTGGAATGGGAAAGACAGCCAAGAAGTGATGTTAATAAAAGGTACTGGATGAAAGCCCAGAATAGAAGTACAACAAATAGAAACAGCTAGCAAATGTACACATAACAGAGTGTAAATCCACAGCAGATGACAGAGACTTTCCTCCTCTTGCAGACAGAGCTGAGCAAACATTGCTACAGGCAGGTTTTGAAAAAATGTCAGCACTGAAGCATCTAGAGTATAAACATGCACCTCTGGCCAAAAGACAGAGGGAGATCAATGCTACCTGTGAAGTACTGAGAAGGGAGATAATGTACAGAATGGCAGTGTGATTTAAATATTCCAAGCAGCATTTTGGAAGACTCCTCACAGGAGTAGGAAGGAATAACAAAAGTCTAAAAATTAGCTATTTGAGTAATTCGTATGAAGTTTCATAAAACATGCAGAAGCCAAGAACCTAAAAAAAAAAAACACCAAAAAACAAAAAAAAAAACCACACACACACAAACATAAGTCTCAAGAGTTCCTCATGGAGACGAGGAATTCACAGTTACTAGTTAAATAGAAAGCCCATTTTGTGATTTATCAAATACTCACATTTTTGTTTTTAATTGTGAATTTATGTAACTGAAAATGTGAATTATTTGTTTACTCTGAAGTGTTTGTGAACTCTTTGCTAAAACATCTTATATTCAATAGACAGAATTTCAACTGTGAGCCTTCATTTCAGTTTAGTCATAATGGCACAACTACTTCCTGGCTTGATGAACCTCACTTCCGCAACTAGGAGAGATTTAATGAGCCTCTGAAGAGAGTAGATTTAGGTATGAAGGCTGCTCCAAAAGTAATGCCTCCTATGTTACAATATTGGCCCACAGCAGAGGCAGATGCTGGTGGTATTGCAGTACAGGTTGCACCTTCCCACCAGTATTTTTTTTTTAACATTTGTTGCTACGTGACAGATGGCAGCAGAGGGTCACCCTAACAAAGTAGCATCTGACATAGAAGTGGGTATAAAGCAAAGGTGTGTCACTGAATTCCTCCATGTGGAAAAAAATGGCACCTACTGACATTCATTGATGCTTGGTGAAAAGTTACTGAAACCAAACAGTGGATGTGATCACAGTGAAATGGTGGGTGGTGCATTTCAGCAGTAGCATCTCTGCTGGCACAGATTTTTATGAGCACAGCATGCAGACTCCTGTTTGTCACTGGCAGAAGCACATAGCTAATGGCAGTGATTACATTGAAAAAGTGCTTTGTAGCTGAGAATAATAATCTTGCTTAGCACTTTGAGACACTTACCTATTAAACAAGCTCATGTAGAGAGAAACATGTTCATATATAATTGGAGGTGGAATAGCTTCAAGAGAAAACGCATTCTTGTTCCACAGTGTGGCATCCTTCCATTTGAAAATGACAAGGGAGGCCAAAGTTAAAACAAAAATAACTAAAGGGAAAAGCTATATAAAAAGGTAGGTAAAGCAAAAAATTGAAAATTAATTTAAAATTGTAGCAGATAAGAACACGGAAATATCTTGAAAGTTCCCTTTTATGTAAAATAAAAATTCTCAAAAGAAGTAAGTGTCCCTGTTGAACAAATTCCTGATTCCTAATCTCCTTAGAGTGTCTTAAATCAGTTAAACAAGATCTGAAAAAGCAGCTGAATCACCATTTTTGATTCCTCCGACAGAAAAGAAGCCACACTGAATTTCTTCCTGTTTTGTTCAAATCTACCCACAGTTTCACAGGGCAGTTTTCATAGGGCAATTTACTCTCCTTTCCTTAGGTCATCTATGATGACAAGTTTCAAATATGCACTCAGAGACATAAATACACTGAAAATTTACATGAAAGTGATGAAGACTCCACAAAAACAGCCTAACACTTCTTATAACTTTGTTAATAGACAAGTCTTGCATCTCTCCACAAATAATTGCTTGGACTGGCAGAGGGCAAGCCAAGAAAATTTCATCTCAAGTCACAGAAGTTTAACAGAAACATGAACAGAAAGAAATAATGACATACAATGAGAAGGATTATGTACTGTTCACAGGTAGTATAGGCATCACTGCCTCATGAAGCTTAATCTGAGCCAGAAACTTTCTCTCCACAGAAAGATTTTTTCATCTAGTTCCTAGACAAAAATCTAGACAATTTAAGTTAGAAATAAAGCCTTCGGGCATACATTTTTTTGCCTATACAGTACGAAGTTCCCCTTCTTTCCAATCAAGGCTAACAAAAGTCCCTAATCCCTTTGTCTCAAGCCTACAGCACAGACCTACTAGCCACTGCCGGTGTGTCAAAATAAACAAGGTCCTCAATTTCATTTCTGCACCTCAGGATGTACCTGAGTAGAAATGTCCCACTCACCTTTTCTTACAACTGCAAGAAAAGAAGATAGAGATATATTTTCAGAGGGTTTCAACAGATTCAGTGTCTCAGGAAAGCTCCTCTCAACACATGCTTCATTCTCCTTCAAGATGACTACTAAAGCTTAGTGTTAGCTATAGGACTGTAACACAATGGAGCATACAGCAATGACAGCAAAATCCTATGCAGCAGCAAGAGGTTTTGCTCTCACACAGCAGCCACCAGCAGACAAATAAGGAAAAGAAGCCACTTACCTTTAAAACACCTCAGATATACAGACACCTCCAACAAAACACCTACACTTCCACTGCCAACCCTTAAATGAAGTCTGGGAAGGGGTGGATCCTGGTTCCACCCCTTCCTGATAGTCAGGCACACTGCTTGCATCTGTGCTCCTCTGGGTAGGTCCTGATTCCCACTGGGTGCTCAATCACTGTTTCAGGCCATGACTTAGCATTTCCACTACTTGTTGAAGTAAATTTTGTACTCATCTGATGGTGGTTTTGGAGTGGTGAGCTGTAATTTTCAAAAATGGCAAAATAATGCAATACAGCATTGAAGCTCCATCAAGCAGAAGGTTGGCTGATGAAAGCAGACACCTCCACCTTGCACAGGATAACTCAAGTATTAAAAGCAACAAAACTATTATATGCAGCTGTGCAATGGAAAGACCACTTTATGGAAATGCTGTTCAACTCTAGTTTCAAGTATGTCATAAGAGTGAAAAACTTGCTATATAAAAGCTCCTGAGATGCAGGATTAACATACAGAAAAGGCAATAAAGGCTCTGAGGTCTCTCAAACCACTTTTTTTTTTTTTTTTTCTTCTTCCTTGAGAGAAGCTTAGAAGTTACAGATGGAGAGGCTTAAAGAACTTCTCAAGCAGCTGGTTAAGCTGTTTGTTAAAGTGATATAATGTTCACCACTTGGTTACCGGTAATGAAGCTGAAACTGCAGTTATGGAGTGCTTTAGCTTTACGTCCAAGAGGTGAAGGTATTTTGCAAGCCAGAGTGATTTTGCTATACTGTTACTCCCATTTATGAAGTGCTCTAATGGCAGCTTTCAGAGAACTTGGTGTACCAGTCGTGCTGGTTTAATCCTCAACTTGCTGAGGATTTAATGAGCAATGTGTGGGGCTTAGAGGAAAAGTACTCCTCTTTATACACGTAAACCTCATGTGGGTGTCTACAACCAAATAAATTCTTGAAAAACACTGAGAACAAACATTAACTGATTGAATTTTCATACTGCATGAAGTTCCTAGCCAGGCGTGACTGATCATGTTCAGGGTAAAATATGAGAATAAAACGGTTGTTGCTCTATTTACCCAAAGAAATATAGAATGTTAATACAAAACAGAGCAGATTTCACATGACTGGCAAAAATATAGATGTGAAAAGAAAAGCAATTATTGCTAAAATGGTTCAGCGGCCTATTCAGTTCAGCAGCTCTGTGGAAGTGATTTAAATCTATGCCATTTAGATATTAGGCACTGCTGGAAGAAAATAAAAGCAATGAAAGTTTTTACATTCTTCTCTCCACAAACATCACGGTTAGCTTTCACCTATAAAACATTAGTTTAGGTTTCCAAGAGTAGGTAATTAAGTGCTTACAAATACACTGCCCTTACAAGTGGAGCAGCAGCAGTGAGATGCCCTTTCAAACCATACCTGAGAGTAAGAACTGAATGTATTTAGTGCTACTATTTGACCTTTCAGAGCTGAAATGAACGAAGTGCCCATTCAATCTTTACATCTGAGGATTCACAATCAAAAATATGGCACATCATAGGAAAAATTATCCTGATAAGACTTATTTTATATTTGTGATAAAGAAACCATTATCTTAGGTTGCTCCTGATTTAAACTATTCAGAAATCTGCCTTCATTACATGTGCAAATACTTAGGCTTCTGTGAGCAACAATAAATTTGAAATAAAATCAGACAGAGTAGGACACATCTCATTTTGTTTCATTAAAAAAACGGAGAACACATCACTCTTCTCATTTTTAAGAATGTGAGAGGTAGTTGCTCCATCCTTTCAGTCACCCAGGACACGAATTAGATGCTTGAATTTATTTCTTGGCAATAAGGAAACAAATCTATGTGTGACACAAGAGCTGCAGACTGGGAAGCATGTCTCTGACCTAACCAAAGCCGACAACATAACTCTATAGCCTGCTGGTTACAACACTAGCTTAAGTTTACATTAAACAGCCAAAGAACAACATATGATTCCAGATTCATCCAATAAGGTTACAGGCTGAGCCAAATAATAAAGTGCAGGGGACAGAAAGCAAGATGTTTTTTTCCTTGTCTGATACTCATGGACTCAGCCTGCTGATATCAGGATGGTATTCTGAAAGTACATAGTGATAATGAAGTATATTTTTTTTCTTTATGTTTATGGGCTTTCTTTCACACTGTCAACTGTGTTTAAAAAACGGTTTTGCCTGAGAGACAAGACCAGAAGTGGTCTCAGGAAGAAGCAGGAATCAAGTCATACGGAGGTGATTCACAATGATATGATTTACTCACAGACTGCACAAGACTATGAAAAGTCCAGGTCATTATTTGCGTCTTGCTTAGAATTGAGGGAGGTCCTTGTAAGGAGGATTACCCTGATGACTGTTCTTGGTTGTGACCACTGCAAACGTTGTCCACCACTGACAACTCTGATACTGTTGAAAAGGCACTGATAGCCATTTTTAGCTTCTCCAGGCAGCACAACATTTATTAGAAGCAAATTCTGCTGGACAAATAACTACAGGAAGAAGTGCTCTTTTCTTTTTCTTGTCTGATTTGCTTTTAAGATCTCTTTACATCTGTAATTTCTTATTACATGTGTTACCATCTTGCTTATGCACCAACATCTTACCAGGTGAGCAATGCACAGCTGCCCTTGGATTCCCCAGAGGCAGGTACATGTTGGGTGTTGTGTGGTGTTGATAGGCTTTCACCAAAGCTCCCATGGGACCTGTTTTACAGATGGGGCTAGACTGGGGCTGAGCAGTCTGAGGAAGGTCTGAGAAGGCCTCTGACGACCAAAAGTTTGGTTCAGGGCACAATTCTATTCTCATTAGTTTCTAGAAAGTCACTTAGCTACTTCAGTGGAGTTGATAACACCTTATAAGACAGCTCTGTGCAGCATTGTCCGCAAGCAGCTCTCTTCTGCATTCACAACAGCAATGGGGACACTGAGGCTTATCGTGGCTTAGAGCATAATCCTGAGGCACAGTGCCTTGTCTTACTCCTTAATTATTCACCGCCATGCATTCCTTGTTAATTTATATACAGAAAGCTAATCTCACTGGAGATCCTGTGCCACAGGTACATCAGGTTATTACTGTGACATGTTACAGCTTATGAATTCCTGTAGTTGTCATTTGTATTTGCTACTCATATCCATTGTGTAGTAACGTAGTAAATAAATGGTTTTAAGATTAAAATTGAAAATATCCAGAATATCCAACCTACTCTTTAAGTTTTATTTTTGTTTCCTGTGTTTGCACATTTATACAATGCTCCAGGTAAATGCTTCCCCATACGCTTTTTTTTTTTTTTTTTTTAATCATTGCCATATTATCAGGGTGTGCAATATAATAAACAGGTCTGTTAAAGCACCAATGATGTCTCTATTGGCAGACTTATAAAAGAGCTCGGTGACCTTGGTTAATTAGCCATGTAATAAACCAGAACTGAAAGAGCCTATTCCCACAAACCGCAGCACAGCACCACTCCACCCCCCGCCTGTCAGAGCCGCTCTGAATGGGAAGTCAGCAGACGCCATGCAAAGTGCATCCACTTAGCCTTGTAGCCCTTTTGAATATATGCAAAGATTAACAAAGAAATTTCCTTCCAGCCACTGACTAAGAAACAGTCTATAAAACAAAAAGATAAGTTTTCTGAATACTTCTGCCAGTTATTTCTCTTCTCCTACTGGCTACTACTGCTTATGTTATGTTTAGTTAAATGCACATTCAGAAGTCTCAAGTAATTGTTAAAAAAAAAAATCAAAATTTCCTCTGTCCCTTTCCAAAATGTTTTCTACAAATACTGTTTTGTCATCGTGTTTATCTCAGCTGTTCCGAATAGAAAAAAGTCCCGATCCCAATTAAAGAATAGCTAATATTGCATTTTCCAAAAAAATGGTTTTTTTGTTCCTGTTTAGCACATTACTGAATTATAAATCAAGCTAACAGAAATTGTATAGAAAAGTGTACTATATTTCTTGTCTTTCACTTGATTTGACTAAAAAGTAAACCTGAAAAAATCAGAACAATGTTCTAAAAATGAAATGTTTGGCCTTTTATCTGAGGGCAAGATGGAAAATGAATTCAGATTTTTAGCAGATTTTCTGACCCTGTCCTGTCAGATTCTTTAGAAATGAAAGGTTATGTAAGTGCTAGCAAGAATCACTGCCATTTTAAAGTCACAGAAGTGTCACTTCATAACAAGTGTAACATCAATTAACTGCATAGCCGCAGGGTCAGTGTATTCCTCTGCACGTGTATCAGTATTCCTGACTGCCGCAGGAATTCTCTCTTCCCTTCACCCAACTTGTCTGCAGCTCACAGCAGCTGTCCTTTCGTGGCATCTCCTGCATCCTGGCACTACACAGAAGACAAGCCGAAAAACTGCACCACACATGTGAGACATGAACATCGGTTTTAATACCGCAAACCGTCACTTCCATGCATGAGAGAGATTTTCATTTCATAGAATAAACATCATCGGGATTCAACTGAACTTATTTTTTTTACCCTTTTTTTTCATTTTTGATGTGAACATTAACATTCTAGTCTTCCTGTGTGGTAAAACAGGAGGACATCACCCTGGTTTTAACTAGAAATCCATTTATTCACTCAGGATCTTTTCAGCTGCACTCATTTCTTTCAGTACAGCAGATCGCAGTAAATTCACATGAAGAGTTTCATTGGCCTGCCAAGCAGTTCCTGCTTTCCCGGGGAGGTGTTAATATTGGGCATGGGAACAGCCTTGACAGATCCAAGATTACAGCCCGCTGATAGCAGGATATCTAAGACCTAACTGCCCCCTAGATACTCTTGTAGAATCCCAAAATAAAGAGATGCATTTTAGCAAGCCGTATTTGCTAACTCACTCTCTGTGCTTTCTAATGTGATCTAAAATATCTTTGGAATGTATTTAAGGGTGCTGAAAACTACGTAACTAAGCATCTAATTTGGGAGACTGTGTGTGTGTGTGTGTGTGTGTGTGTCTGTGTGTGTGTCTGTGTGTTTGTTTGCATTTATGAAATCTAAAGTATAGATCCATGTATTACAGACAGGAATACAAGCAATCTCCACAGTTTACTGTAAGAACATACACAAACAGCCCAGGATCAGACACATCAGTTGAATTTTTC